CCCCAAAACCCCAAAACCCCGTGAGTCAATGGCTGAATAATTGTTATAGGCAATTAAAAATAATTAAAAATTTTTAACTTTAAAAGTTTAGCGGTAACATATGTACAAGAGTGCTCTCCCATTACTAAAGGATAAACAATTTATTGAGGGGTTTAGAAAATAGATTTTCCAATTGGAAAGTGAAATATTTAGAGCAGCAGCATCAATTCCTAGGGAAAGAGATGTTAGAAAATATAAATCACAGGTGATGTATATTCATAGTGAAATGATAGCAGAAGAGACTGACTTACTTAAGCTAAATGCTGCTTACCATGAATTGATCAAACTCAATTAAAAGTTGAAACTATTTTGGTATTACCCAGGTAGACCTCTTGCGTATGAAGAAGCATTACTTTTAAATGAAGATAAGAATTTGCCAGTTCCTAAATATAAAACAAAATATATGCATGAATATAAAGAGACATTTCTAAAATATTAAGAATTAATAAATTAATAAAAGCAAAAAAATGACTGAAAACGTTTCCTTCTAACAATTTTCAAATATTCAAGAGCCTGTCTCTTATTAATAAACAAAAAGCTCACTTACACCTGCCCAACAGTAGCAAAAGCAAAAGCTTGAGCAGCAGTTTTCTGTAGTGACACCTCTAATCATTGTCTACATCAAGCAGATGTTCATCATGTTTTTCCTAAAGGTGACACTCTACTAGATTGAGGAAAATGGAATGGGCAGAAATGAAAAGACAATCGCCTATCTTTTCTTAGTGATCTACTACATTTTGTACTTTAACAGTCTCTACAAGTTTGGTAACTCATTCTACAACATCATGAAGAACTCTCTTATTGATGAGACCGATATAATGATGCTTGAGCTCATAGGTACAACTGTATTTGGACTCCTGTACTTGCTCTATGGAGTACTATATTGTACTACTTTCAAGAATGAAGGAAATACTTACTATGGAGAGTGTTGCATTGGTGTTGGAGTTTCTATATTCATACAGTGCTTCCTGCTTAGAAAGTTTTACATGGCTTAATAGTCAAGACTATAAGATGATAAAAAAACTAATTGATGTGTAGAGAGTGATATCTTGTGATATTTAGTTATTAGAAATTTCTAGACTAGTCCTTCAGCTGATAATGACAGGCTTTTGAAAATTTAGATTTTAACTTCTTCTAAAGTCTTATTAACAACTTATTCTACTTAGATTATCAATCAAGGGGTTTTGGGGTTTTGGGGTTTTGGGG